CCATTGAGGATTACAGTACTCACCTCCAAGCCTGGCTGGGAGGGACTCAATCAGATAATGCATGTGAAAGTGTCCTCACAAGCTGTAAACACTGTATAATTATTAGTTGTGATGATCAGTTTGAGAAACTGGCTTTCATAATGAGCAGCCCAATTACCCCCGTGTAATGTGCTTGCTCACCAGGTCAGCCTGGGGCTAGGGCAGCAGCTGGTAGAGCTAGGGAAGGCTTGCAGGGCCCAGGGGAGGGGAATCTCGCCCTAGGCCACCTCCTCAGCTTTTCCTCTATCTGGGGCTCAGTGCTAGGTCCACGGAGGGTTCTGAGTGTGGACACAGGAGAACCTGAGCAGAAGAGGAGGGGAGAGCTTGGCAAGGTGGGTCCATGAAGTACATGGAAAGGACTTTGTTCCAGGAGTGGGTGGTAGAGGTGTGGGGTATGGTGGGAGAACAGCTCAAGAGGAGACTTACTGTAACTGCCTGGACATGCCAGGAACCTTCCGCACCCTTTTCAAGTTTTCCACTTGGTGGTTTTACAGGGATGTTCTGGGACCCCAGTGCCTGCCACAGGTGTACACTGGTCTCCTAAGGAGAGGGCTTGGCCACCATCAGCTGCCATTGAATAGACTGTAACTTCTGGTAACCCTGTGTGTATCGGAGTAGCCCTGTGCTCCATTAAGTTTTCAATGGCTGATTTTTTTTTTTTTTTGGGAAGTGGATCACCAGGCCCTTTCTTCCAAGGTACCTGTGGGTGGACGCGAACCATCACCCTTAGAAGAAACTCAGAAGATGTTCACCGTTGTGACCTTAGGGCTGCAGCCAAGTATGCTGAGGCAGGGGGCGTGGCCTGGAGTCCCTTTGTCTCTGCAGTCATTCTGCCATCTCCTTAATTTTGTCCATCAGTGTATAAATCCCAGTCTTTCCTTGGGATAGGGGTCCAGAGGACAGCCGAGTTCCATGAACCTGCCCACTGCTCAGAGAACCCTGACTCCTTGTTGAGAGGCTTTGTCTATGGACTTGAGTCCGGGGTGGATCTCCTTAGAGTCACTGGGTGGTACAAATGGTTAATGCCCTCAGCTGCTTCCTGAAAACTGGCATAGAGTGCACCCAGAGGGGCCTCAGAAGAAACATCTGGTGGTCTACTTCCAACAAATCAACAATGGAAATCCCTATGGAGCACAGTTCTTGTCTCATACACATGGGGTTGGAGCTAACTGGACAGCAACTAGTATTTTATTATGTGGTTTCATATTCACCATAAGCTATTTCGCTGTGCTGTTTGTTCCCATTAGGCCCTTTGTTAAGGATGCTGAGGAAAGACAGAAAGGGTTCTGAGATGGGTACCGGAGTAGAGTCAGAATCCAACATTCCTACTCCTCTTCCTCTCTCAGGTGCCAAGCCTTCCCCTTTGCCCTTTGTGAGGTGGAGCTGAGTGACTGACAGGTCTCCTGTGTGCAAACATTGCTTCCTGGCATCTTTGCCAAAGTCCTGTCAACAGAAGATAATGGATAACATTTTCCTAGCGCCGACAGGGACCAGGCTCGGACTGAGCACTGGCCACAGATTAGCTTCACTGACGTCACCCTGTTTCTCATTGTTCAGTTGAGAAATTGGAGGCAAGGACAGTTGATGTGACCGAGGGTCACTCACCTTGTACCCCAGTGGGGCTGAGAGGCCAGGTTGACTCCCTGAGGAAAGACCCCAGAGTCACACCTTCTGCAATGGCTGCAAAGAACTCTGGGTACCGGAATGCCCCCGAATCTCAGTTGGTGGCACTTTGATTCTGAATATTGATCTCTTATTGGTAGTCCAGTTGCTGATGGTTTCACACAGGAGAAAGACTTGGAATTTATCTGACTTGACAAGCTGTTTAGTGAAATGCCAAACAACCTGGGCACTAGAACTCTCTTTAATCCGCCATCACATTAGCCTGACGCCACAGCTGCGTTAATCTAGGTGGTTAATAGGCAAAGTGGGTCAAGCCAGGTTTAGCATCAGCCCAGGGTGGCTCTAGCACCTCTGAGAAGTCTTTTTTAATGGTGACACACTCTCCTGTAACTCGATGTTGGCTGGGACCTGGGGGGAAAAAATTCTCTCTCCAGGGAACTACTGACTTTTGTGATAAACAATTTATATCATCATTTCTTTAAATGTGCTCAGTAGAGGAGTTGTGGTCTCAGCCGATTAACAGTGGCTTTAAATTGGAAGTTTAGAATGTCCTACTGAGAGGTCCATATTTGGTCCAACATAATCGGGAAATGGCCTTTTGTTATTTTTGTGCCCAGGTGGGAATAAACCAGAAATCTCTATCCCACAGTTAATGAAGATCGTAGATCTGAAACCCAAACTTAGTATTTAGTTCGTTCCCACGTCTCTCTTGTATACACACTGGCACATATACACTCTGTATAATTTGGTTCTACTGTGTGCCATAAACTATGCTGGGCACTTTAAGAATAATAATAATAATGCGGAGAACAGCTAATGTTTGTTAAGTACATACTGCATGTCAGCCATGTTGTAAGCATATAATGATTAGTCATTGTTTTAATCCTCATTAAACTCCCATGAGGGTAGTTGTGATTATGAGTCAGAACTGACTCCATAGCACTTAACAGCAACAACTATCATAAAGAGGAGCCTTGGTGGTGCACTGGGTTAAGTTCTTGGCTGCTAACCCCAAGGTTATAGGTTGAAACCCACACAGCAGCTCCACAGGAGAAAAGACCAGGCGGTCTGTTCCCATAAGGTCTATAATGTAGGAAGCTTTGTGGGGCACCTCACCTCTGCCCTTCAGTCAGAATCAACTCCACAGCAGTGGATTCGTTTGGGGTTGTCCTAGATGCATGATGGGGTCACTGTAGGATAAGCACTGGACTGCTAGCAGCAAGGTTGCCAGTTCAAACCCACCAGCCGCTCCTTGGAAACCCTACACAGGGTCAATACAAGTCGGAAGTGACTTGACGACACTTAATAACAACAACGAAGACGCCATGATAGGTGGGTGGGGGGTCACCTGCATCTCCCTCTTCATACGGGCAGTCTGCTGCCTGCCCTTCAGTTCCCCATTGCCACAGCTGCAGCAGAACCTTAGTAACCAGGCCTTTGATTTGATTTGATAAATTTTCACTTCTCCCGCATGTGTAACTTCCGCCCTCCCGGTGGGTTTCTTCATTCCTTTTCCCCGATCTTCCCATAGTGCCCTTGGTTTGTCTTTCCCTGTGCTGTTTCTGTTTATCCCAGCTGGGGATGAACTAGAAATCTCTGTCTGTATCAAGGCTAACGGAAGAATGCAGATCTGTGATCAAAATTTAGTGTCCAGTTAGTTATATGGATTTCCTTTAAAATGTTCTGTGGCGTGGACTGGCAACATCAACAGACACCTGAGCTCTTCTCATCCCATATACTTTATAGCAGGAACTGAATAGTCACATGACAGAGAAAAGGAACCCGGGTACTATAAATACGGTGTGAGTTAGGCTGCTAACCGCAAGGTCAGAAGTTCAAACCCACCAGCTGCTCTGCAGAACGATGAGCCTTTCTGCTCCCGTAAAGATTTGCAGCCTTAAAAACCCTATAGAGAGTCACTATGAGTCAGAACTGACTCCACAACATAGGACTCACATTGGAAACGTGTTGTTTTATAATAGCAGCTTGGTATGGCACTGTGGGATAAAGCAAAGTCGGTTTGAACTACAAGGTCGGCGGTTCAAGTCCACCAGTCGCTCCTCGGAAACGCTATACAGGGTCACTATGAGTTGGAACTACTCGACGACACTTCACGTGCCTTTTAACTTAATATTTTGTCACCAGAGTCTTAGGTTTGGCTCTGATCGCCGTCACAAAGCTGCTTTTGGTCCACCGTCCAAGCCTGTATCTGCTTTAGACCCAGTTAGTCAGCATCAACCCAAGTACCCAACACAGTAGTCTTTGGATTGTATTCACTGGTGCAGAGCTACCCATAGGGTTTGCTTGGCTGTAATCTTTACAGAAACAGAGTGGGGCCAGGTCTTCCTGCTGAGCCACTGGGTGAACTTGGACCACCAACCTTACATATGAATTGTTGTTGTTGTTGTGAAGTGCCATCGAGTCGGTTCTGACCCATAGCGACCCTGTATAGGGTTTCCTACATATGAATACTTGGGTTTAAATCAATGCTGTGGTAGAAAGACAATCATTTTAGTTCTTTTCCTGGATTGGAATCTAAGGTATTTTAGAAACCTCTAGAGTTGACTCATTAATTTCTTCTTGGTGTTTTTGGGTCAGTTGATGTTCCATCTGAATTCGCCTGGGATTTTAGCTGCGGCATGCTTGTTTGCTCTCAGGTATGCATGTTGTTAGGGGTCATTGTGACGAGTGTCCAGGGAAATGTTTTCTTCCAGTGCCCAGACATGTGCACTCCAGCCTAGGGAGCATTTGAAGGCAGCAAAGAGAGGGCTCGTGGGCAGGCAAGGAGCTCCAACTGCCGCTGTTTAGGCACGACATCACAGGTTTAAGACCCCTATTATCAGCAGTTTTTAAAATCTGGGTAACCTAAAAAAATAGGGTAAGGTGGCCCCTACTACAACAGTATCTTAGAGAAACACATGTCTTGTTCTTTGGGCTCCTTGGAGAAAGATGCCTTTGCACCTGGCCCCAAGCTTTAGGTGAAATGTTGATGTACTTTTAAGTTCTAAAACTCTGCTTGTCTTTTCACATATTTCTACCATTGTTCCCAGTAATGAGGAGAGGAATTCCTGGGTGCTTCAGGTGGTTAGTGGGCTCGTCTGGTAACCCAAAGATTGGTAGTTTGAGTCGACCCAGAGATGCCTCAGAAAAATCAACCATGGAAAACCCTCAGGAGCACAGCTCCTCTGGCACGCATGGGGCCACCAAGAGTTAGAGTTGACTGGAGAGTAATTGATTTGTGTACTAAGACGGAGCAGGATTGGGAGTGTGGGCATTGAGCTGTGCTGCCAAAGAGGCATCAACTTCGCACCCAATTGTGGTTTGTTTGTTTTTCTCAGGGACCTGATGCCTAGAACCCTGGACGGCCAGATCACCATGGAGAAGACGCCCAGTTACTTCGTGACGCGCGAGGCGCCGGCGCGCATCTCGGCCATGTCCAAGGACACTAAGCTCATCGTGGTGGTGCGCGACCCCGTAACCAGAGCCATCTCGGACTACACGCAGACGCTCTCCAAGCGGCCCGACATCCCCACCTTCGAGAGCTTGACCTTTCGGAACCGCACGACAGGCCTCATCGACACGTCGTGGAGCGCCATCCAGATCGGCCTGTACGCCAAGCACCTGGAACACTGGCTGCTGCACTTCCCCCTGCACCAGATGCTCTTCGTGAGCGGGGAGCGGCTCATCCGAGACCCCGCGGGCGAGCTGGGCCGCGTGCAGGACTTCCTGGGCCTCAAGAGGATCATCACCGACAAGCACTTCTACTTCAACAAGACCAAGGGCTTCCCCTGCCTCAAGAAAGCAGAGGGCAGCAGCAAACCCCACTGCCTGGGCAAGACCAAGGGCAGGACCCACCCGGACATTGACCCCGAGGTGGTGCAGAGACTGCGCGACTTCTACCGGCCCTTCAACCTCAAGTTCTACCAGATGACCGGGCACGACTTTGGCTGGAACTGAGCAGATGCAGGCTGCGTAATTTACCATGTGGCTTATATATTTGAGAGAGATTATATGTATGTAAAATGTACAGAAATCTATTTTATAATAATTTATTTTTAGTTCATAAGCAATTAATTCACTAAGCTGCCTAGCCACACTCTTTAGAGAGTTAGCTTCATAATCTGTTAACATTCCAAAGTGTTTAACTCCGATAGTTTGTCGTTCTTGGCCTCACAATTGATGGTGCTTCCATTTTTTTCTCTTATCCATTCTATTTAATACGAAGAAAAAGCACAACTTGGAGATTTTTTGTTGTTACGGGTATTCAGCCTTCGGACATCATCTGAATTCTTCACTTGGGTCTCAACTCTCAGCTTGCAGCTTCCTTTTCTCCTCCAGCCTGTTTACCTCGTAGGAGCACTGAGCTGCCTCAATGAGGCTGCGCTCTGCGGGTTGTAGCTTGCGTAGTCACTTCCTTGTCCAGGCGCTAGTTCTCATTCCCAAGGAGGTAAATGCCAAACCACAGAGCTAGATGTGCTCCCAAATTCACTCCGCACATGGACACCCGTATACCCTTTTGGGGTCTGTCAAAGCCTATTTACTTTACCTTTCAAAGGCTGATTCCATACCCTCTTCTGCCTGTTCCCTGGTTCATTTACCAGCTCGAAGTATATGCAAATGTGAGCTCCTTCTTCCAGGTCACATGTGAAATGCTTAGGTAGGTCTTTAGAAATAAAGATCATCTCTAGTTGGTCTGAGAGCCCACCATGCACCATTCTCTGGGAAGACAGTTCTACTTTGATAAACCAAAGAGTCTCACAGGCCAGCAGAGCCTTTGGCACAAAGCAAGAGTGCTTGGGTATCCTGATCTAAAGGGGTCCGGTATAGCCCAGGTGGTCAGCATCTGCCAGGATATACTTGTGGTTGCAGAGCCAGTGCATATTGGGCACATCTCAATAGGATGACTTCCCCCTGGGGAGAAACAACAAAGACCCCCAACATGACAGGTAACAGAGAAGGAGATTTCTGACACCGCTTCGTGATATTTGAAACTTGTTCCCTGTGGACCCCCTCACCCCCAATCTCAGAATGACGGCATGGTCTCTAACCAAGAGCCAAACAAAACAAAAGGAGTGGCTCTGGGAAAGCCAGGTTGGGAAAGCTGGCTCCATATTGGAGCCTGAGTCATGTGCAACTATCCCTTGTGCAACCAGGTCTTGGCAGAGGGGGTTTTCAGCATTGTTACTGCTGGTACAGAATGTTCTAGAACCCCCCCCCCCCACCTCCATGACTAGCTAGTGGCAGTTGGCAATCATATAATAATATCGCAGACTGACACGTTCAACCTATCTTTGGTTTTCTGAACTAGAATGGCTCAACTCTAAAGTAATTGTTTTACAAAGGAATATCATTTGAAAAGATAAACATAATGTCAAAAAATGTTTGGCTTGGTCCATTCATAAAAGACCTTTTGTATGTCGTACACCTGATTACAGTGTAAGACAGCTGGTAGAGAAAAAGAAAAAGTCATTCATAGTGAGAAGCTGATCCGAGATGTCACTGGTCTTTAACGGATGTCTTGTTGACAATCCGCATTGTAATCCCTCATCAATTGTAATCCCGATCCAGTTAGTTGATGGTTAGCAGCAAAGCTCTCATTGTGTGAGTTTGGTGTGGGAGCGCGGCCCTAGGGGTGCTCCATGCCTCCCCTGGATGTAGAATTCATGTCCTAGCTTTCTTACAGAGTCTGCACAGCAGTGTAGCACTTGAAGTGTTAGGAAAAGCACATGGCTCTCCCTCATGTAGATATCCAAGACGTCTACACAAGAGTGCCAACTGGGCGTGCCTGTTTCCCCCGCTCCATCAGCAGGTTCAGTTGACATGAAACTGAGAACAGCTCTTTTTCACTTACAGCGTGTGATGCAGTTTAAAGTAAAAGTCAGCCTCCAGCTCCTCCACCTAGTCCCACCTCATTCACCTTCAGCCACTTCCACAACCTGCCACAGCTCCTGATATAGAACTGCAGAAAAAGATGAATGGGGCATGCCGCAAAGGGGGTAGGAAAAACTTGCCAGGTCCCTGCCCTCCTCCCAAGCCGAACAGTTTTTGGTTAAGTTGTTTATTCCTTGACTTAAAATGGGAAGAGGAAATACTCAGATAGAGGAAAGATCATTTTAGTCATGAACACTGAATTGGTTGAAAATTCTCTCCTGGGTCAAATCCTAGGATCCCGCCAGATGTTGATAATTTGCCATAATGGACTAAAACAAAAATTTCTCTGTAATACAAATAAATTCACTATCATGTGCTTCTCTTTCATAAGCTTAGAGTTCTGGCTGGTCCTGATACAGCATCTGCCTCTTGCTGACAGAGTTCCCAGATCTCCTTCCTGGGAAGTTATGCAACACATAACGTTGACCCTTCATTTTCTTCCTGTCCTTGCATTCGGCAGGGTCACCAAAACTTCCCATTTTAGCTGCTAGAAGACAAACATTATTTCTTGGGTTTTGGCCAATTGTCCTAGCACATGTTTTAGGTTTCTCCCAGTTCACAGGAAAACCTCTGGCATTCATTATAGTATTTTATTCCTAGCAGTTTTGTTTCTTTCCTCATTAAAAAACAAATGAAAAGATAAACAAAACAATTGGCGGTTTTTATTGTTTTTAGTGATCACAGGCTTCCTTTGGGTTTGATTGTACAGTCCTATGTTAACTTGGTAGGTGGTACTTAGAAGTAATAACCGCGTAATAAATATGTTGATGTTGGAGGAGGAGAAACTGTCTTCTTCATGGGATTTTCTTTGGGAGTCATTTTGAACATCTGCATTTGTAAAACTTTTTGGAGAAATGCAATTTCAGATCCTGCTCAGGATATTTTTGTAAGAAAGGAAAATGGAAGTTTCCAGTAAACTAGAAACACTTGGTGTGTCTCTCAAATGCTGACACAATCATCCATGCCAGTTGTCTTTAGTTTATCAAGAAAGATTGATGAGAAAGCATAAAGGTGTGGTTAGATTTTTTTTTCCTCACATTCATAACGTTAATTTATGACTGAGTTTCATTCAGCAGCCCAGTGATATAAAATACTGTGCAAATTCCAGCAGTGTGTCTTTCTATAACCTGGATATTAGAATAGCCAATATGTTTAAAAAAAAAAAAAAATCAAGTATTTTGTCCTATGTATAACACAAATTAATTTTACACAGAGAAAGATGTTTCTAGGAAAATGAACTTCTGGTAATTCATACTATTTCTTTGTATGAACAAATAAAATATATTTTACCAACTTGTAGGCACTTTTCATTTATGCATTACAGATGGGCAGGGTCCTTGAGTCACTTCGGACTCATTGCGACCCTGTATAATAGGGTTTCCAAGGAGCGGCTGGTGAGTTTGAACCATTGACCTTGTAGTTCAAACTGAGCTTGCGGTCCAGTGCTTATTCTACAGAGCCACACCAGGGCTCCCCATGGACAAGATGGTAGTATTTTATTCAATAACTATAAATGTATACACACATACATTCTTTGAAATCTTTCTGATTTAAAAAAAGGTCCAGTCCAGAAATGACTATCTCAGCTACTAATCCACAAATATTTGGAGTGGACTTTTTGCAATAGACTCTGGTCTGCAGGATTGAGTGGGAGGGGATCCTACTGCTGCTCCGGAGCATAGGTCCCCTGGAAAAAATACTGCCACTTACACCCAAGAATCTGTAGCCACTGTGACTTGTGACCACCAGTTCCCACAAAGATGGCAGCCCATGGGACTACGGTCACGTGACAGGCACAGTGAATGTGAACAGAGGATGGTGGGCAGGGTAGATTTGGACCATATTAGCATTCCCTCCTCACCTCTGTCATTCTGAAATAAGAGCATACAGGCCCTAGACAAGACAGCGTTTTTTGTGTATATACAAGGGGGCTTCTAAAAGCTGGTGGAAAAATAGAGCTGAAAGATACTGGAATTTCTCCACAAATGCTTTGAAGGCCCCTTAAGATTTGTGGTCTTGTGCCTGAGTCACCCTTGGATTTAAGGTGATCCTTCGCACAACAACGAATCCAGTTATTGCTGCTGGATTCCAAGCCAGCCATCCCCACTGTCAGTTGTGGATTGAATGTTGTGTTCCATATATATCCATAAGGTTTTATTGTCTTCTGCTGCTTATCAGTTAGCTTTTGTTTTCATGGGAGTTTTAAATTACTCAAATGCAACAAAAGACTCTTGGCCCCTGTACCAGCTCCATACTCACTGCCACTTTAATGCCAGGCCCCCCCTGCATCTGTGTCCCATGCAGTGGCAAAATTCTGGAGAAAACAGGGAGGGCAGTCAGCCCAAAGGGGAACAAGAGGTCCAACCTTGAGGAGGAGGGATGGCCTGAGCCCAGAGACACAGGTGTTGGTGTTCAGACTTCCTGAGAGCGAGAACAGTAACTCAACAGTGAGCCACAAAGGAGGAAGAGGCCAGTAGTGCCCAGATCTCTAGACCACGTGGCTGTACCCTCATCCGAAAGGGTTGGTGGTTAGGGTTACTAGAAGGAACTAGAAGGTCTTGGCTGAGTGGGGAGTGAGTTGGGGAACTGTGTCCTGAACTACACTCTCAGCTGGGGAAGAGCACTTCTCATAATGTAGAAAGTTTCACCAGCTGGCAAAGCCTCCTTTGGTTCCTGCGTTTCCTTCTGTGTAGGGTTAGAAACCTGCTAGGGGACATCAGCAGAGGAAGCAGGAGGGAGCCTTGGACATCCCCACCTCCCTTGACCTCTCCAGCACTAGGAAGTTCTTGTGTAGGCCAGGTCAGTGGCCCAAGGCCTTCTTGAAGTAGCAGAAGCCACACATCAAGTGATACCTCCACCTCTGGGCACCCAACACTCCAGGGTCCTGGCCACCAGCTTCACCATGTTCTCTGCTAGCTACACCAGGCTCAGGATAGCCCAGAAACTCTTCCTCTGGAAGGTCCATCCTGGGCAGCCAAGATCACAATCCTCTCAGAGTTGGCCATGGTTTTGCTGAACTTGCCCACTTCATGGGGGAAGAACTGCCCTTTGTCAATGCCTGTGACAGCTATAATCAGACCCCCTCCAGGGCCATATCCTGAAGCAGGAAGCTTCCAGAAGTCCCTGCTGAGTGTGGAGAAACCACTGCAGAGAGGATGACCTGAATCACTAGGCACTTGTACTGTGCGATATGAAAGTAGCCACAGTCTCATCAGCTCTGTGCTTTTTTTTGAGAACATTGACCTGAGGATCTCCTATGCCTCCCCGTGGGTCTTGCTAGGAGGAGCTGGCAACACAATGGGTAAGTTGATGCTGCTCACAGTGAGTCTGGGAAACACCAATCCATAGTGTTTTCATTGGCTGCTTACTGAAAGTAAATCTCCAGGGCTTTCTTTTTAGTCTTGTCTTAGTGCTGGAAGCTCTGCTGGAATCCGCATTGTAGCAACACCAAACCTTC